AGGGGATCCACCGAAGCAAGGGAAAAATGGTTTAAGGACTCCTCCTCCTTTGAGAAAGGAGCGGCAGTTAACATCATGGATGAACTGACCTGCACTTCCCCATTCCCTGTCCCCCTGCGCCACCGGGGGGGAGGTAGAGCCAGGAACGAGAGGAAATAGGGGGTGGGGAGGTGTTGTTTTAAGATCTGGCCTTGTTTTCTCTTTCTCCTCTCAAGTAACCGTTTTCGTTCCCTTTTGTCTCTTGTTAAGTAACTGTTAATAAATTGTTTTGTTTTAAGAAAAAGCCTGAGTCATGTTTTGCCCAGGACCATGGTTGGTGAGTGCTCCCTCTCAGTTCTTGTCTCGACCCTCAGTCCAAAAACCACAACAGCACCTTGTTCAGCTGTAGCTGTTCGTGCCCATTTAGTGTCCGAGAAGCAGAGAATGGCCTTTTGCCACTGCCAATGCACTTAGCATGCCAAAAAGAACAGTTTGGCTGGTGCAATTTTTTATCCTCAAATGTATTTTCCACCAAAAATAAATGTAGTCCAGGAAGGCTTCATTTTTCTTGATTATATAGAAATTATATAGAAATGTCTCCACATGTTTTTGCATAACAACAGAACAAAAAAGCGTCTATGCACTGACTGTGAGTTTCTGTCTGCAAGAAATTTTTCAGGAAAAGTAAAAGCAAACTTTATAAATGGTTTTGAAATGGCTCAGTGCTGATTTAGTGCAGCACTTACAGCATAAGAATATGCTATCATACAGAAAAAAATGCAAACCTGTTTTTTAAGTACATGGCACTTGTTATTAGTGACTTTGTTTATTATTTATAATTCATAATTGAAAGTGTGAGTCCTATTTGTTCATCAGTTTTGATTTAAAAAAGGACTTAAATACATACCTAACTTAAATATTTGTGTTATCTCACAAGGTCAAATCAGTATTTTGAACATCATGCAGTTGAAATTGCTTCTGTGTAGGCAAAAGAGTAGTGCTATTGCAGGCTTGAGCAGTACAGGTAGCATGCGTTTTAACAGGTGTCTACAGAATTGTGAATGTCCAGCACCTCTGAAAATCTGAAAACTGCAACCCATGAAAACACATTTATTTTATTACAAGTGTAGAGAATATGAAAAGACAGAGTTAACAGAATCTTTAAGAATGCGGATTGATCTTATTTAACCTGGGATCCAACAAGGAATTTATGTGGATGGGTTTTGGGTGTTTCTAAAATGTCTTACAACACTTGGATCATTTAAAGCTTAGTGAATGTGATCTTTCCATTGAGAAAAGTTTTGTGAAGGTCAATGTGTAGGGTTTGTATAAAGGTATTCTTTGCTGGAGGACCTGCATATTGGGTTTATCTTCTTTCCACGCTCCTGCATAGAACAAAGCTGGCATTCCCTGACCTTCACAGCCTGTCACTGTCCCCAGGCTCACTGTGACAAAGAAGATTAAGAAGGGATTAGGATTATACATTTTTCCCCTCCTGTTCTGTGACGGAGATCTGTCATTTACATTAGGCAACATCAACCAATGTTCTGCTGTTGTAAAAGTGCTCTAAAATTTCAGATATGACATATCTTGTTACTGAAAAGACTAAATAAAGGCAGTGACATACAATGACCAACTCTAAAGTATCTGGATACAGAACTAGTTGTGTCATTTGTTTCTAATTAGTCGTTCAATTAGATATTATATAATTCCCCATACAGCAGTTTTAAAAGTGGTCAGGCATTTTGCCTGTGCTCTTCCTAAGATAACCGTATCAGGCAGATTCATATGTGGATGCTCTTCATCAATAACAAGTACTACTTGCATGCTGTTTGAATTTGCATTGCCAATTTGAATGTTTTGCCTATACAGTCTAATCTATACACACCTAACTGTAAGAATTGAAAAAATTCCTTTGCTGTGTGCAAAAACAAGCAGCACAGCTGAGGCTTGGGACTAAACCAGGGAGAACAGAATCCTATCAAAAACCTAATCTTGATGCTCAAACATTTCTTTTTCAGTGGTTCCCACTCATTGCCATTTCTGTCTGGCAGTGCATACTGAGGAGCATGCAGCTGCTCAGCCTGACAGTTCCAGATGGAGCTGGTTTTGAGTTGCTTGCATAGAGGGGAAAAAGGTGATCAGAACAATTTTTTAAAATGAAACAAAGTTTACAAATTCATATAAGGAGGAAGCAGTAAATTAAAACTTTTAGGCAAAAAATAAGGGCAATTGTGAAAAGTGCAGAGATTTGTGTCTCACTGACAAATTACTTTACGTAAGTATCGTAGTTTCCGTTTCATGTCACTAAAACTAGCAGAAGAGTAAGTGACTTGACATCATCTGGTCCTTTAATGCACCCATGGATAATTTATGATTTCCTGGGTCAAGAGGCTGAAGCCAGGAATCTCGTTAGAGTGAGTATAAAGCAAATATAGATCCATGGTTGGAGCCAGGGGAAATTTAAGTACCTAAAATCTGAATTTTATCAGAACTAAAGCTTTTCTTTTCCTAAAGCAGCTTGTCTTGATACACATGTCCAGAACTCTTTCCTTCCCAGACCCTTGTGAAGTATTCAAGGCATAGATGTGTTTATTTCACAGAAATTACACCTACAAGCATGAGCTATCTATAAACCTGGCCTTTCAAAATGAGCTGGTGGTTCAGATTTCTTTCTACTAAAAAAGTTGATCATCAATGCAAATGTACATGCCTGGGCTTCGATGACAACCATTTGTTAAAATGAGACGCTCTGTTTTGTATCTCTCATAATGAGTGCTTTAATCACTAAATTACAAATAGCACTTATACTTTACATCTTCAAAATTCATGAATTCAGTAACCTTGAACTTCTAGTAAGCTAAAGCAACATCAGTAGCTGAGATGCAGTATTCTCCCTCTCATGACTACATGATAACCTGCTCCTTGGGACACTATTATGAGACTGGAAGCAGAATATGTTGATTTGCAACTATTTGGAACTCCTCTACTTTGAGTAAAAATTTTATTCACCACAGTACTGTACAATGGCTTTATTATTAAAATGACAAAATAAAATCAAAATTTTCAAAATAAAATGCTTACGAGTGAAAATGAGATATGTTATCTCAAACATAAAACATAGCTCTTTCGTTCCATGCTCTGAACTGGATCATTTTTCATATGGTTTTAGGTCAAAAACTAAATCATAAAAGAGAAATTATATTTTCTAGACAGAGACAGAATTATTTTTCTGCCATTAAAAACTAATATTTTTTGTGAAAAGTCATACCTGATCGTATATGAAATTAAACACTAAACTCCAATTTCTTTTAAGACTAAAATCACAACCACAGATTGCAATGACAATACAAACTACTGTGTTACTTATGAGGTATAATTGCACAATACTTAATTCTTTTAATTAGTTTCTCACTTGAGCCATTGGTGTCACATACCTTTTTTAGTTTGATGACTCCTTCCTGGGTGTTCTCATCTGTTGTGATGTCAAACAAGTTTCCCCCATCTCCTGGAACTATGTTGTACTCAATTTCTGCATTTTTCCCAAAATCAGGATCCACAGCTCTGATCCTTCCAATCGCAGAACCAACGTGAGAGGACTCAGGTACTTTTAAATGGAAGATACCTGTGACAAAGTGGTAGACAGTCATTCCTGGGATTTCTTGATAATTAACATGATACATTTGATTAAAGCCATGAAGCCTGTGCAAAATAAACAGATTTAAATAATCCAGTTAAAACGATGAGATTAAAGCAAGAAAATATTAGAAAAAGATATGCATGTTTTACCCACTGAACATGCTAATTCTCCCTAGTTTCTAGATTTGGTCCAAAGCAACTGTAAGGGCCTCAACATCTCTATCTCTTGAGTTATTTATCTATAGTTCTATCTTTATTTTTATCCATATGGTTGACCCTTTTGAATTAAATTCTACTTGTAGGCAGTACATTTTTATAAGTATTTTCCTCCTTCTATGTTTAACAGTTTTTAGTATGTGAATTTTTATTCTGTTTAAGAAAACATATCTATGCATTTCAAAGTAGTTGAAAGGAAAAATTCAGTGGAAAAAGGATTTCCATCCATTTCTATAATATTAATTATTATAATCATACATAAAACTTGTGGGAGGGAAAATATTGTTTAAACATTAGCCACCAGAGGGTGCTCTTACAAAAATTTCAATGGCAAAGAATTTTTTCAGCTGTGCACAGTTTTCTTTTCAGTTTATTTACTATTAGTGATAATAAATTAAAAAAAAAAACCACAAGAAAATTACACACTTTTAAAATAAGCATTATTACTGATATGTGAGGACAAAATAGTTTCATTCAGTTTTTTTTTAAGAGTTATGTTGATAAAAATGTTAGACATGAGAGTTAAAATTTCCAAAAGAAAAGGTTCAAAGTACTTTGAGTCAGCCTTGACTTTAATGACATCGGCAGGAGCAGGGCTCAGTTTATAAAA